ATTATTTATGTATGTGCTGACACTTGACTCAGCTACCCAAATAGCATAGGGTTTAGGGTTAATTGTATTTACCTCCTTCAAGCACGCCCAAATTACCAAATCATCCATGACGTTTTCCAGATAAAAAGTTACATGTTTGGAGCAATAATGAATTATTTCACTAAAAACACATGAGACACAAAATGAAATAGAATAAAAAAAGGATGACACCTGTTTTTGAGGATCCCAACATCGATCGGACAATTACATGAAAGGATGTGAATTGGACTTTAATTATAAGCTGACAGACAAAGAGTGAGGCTCTGACCCTAATACTTGCAGAGGCCATATGCATTTTAACATAGTAACATTTATCGCAGTTGTCAGGATTCGAACCCGATATTTACCCCTTGTGGCACCCCCTATCTATCTATCTGTCTATCAATTAAGCTACATCCACCGGTAAATAGAATATAAATAAAAATAGCTAGAATTAGATGCTTTGTTCTAAAACATTCAATTGTTCAAAGTATTAAGGGAATCTCTATCTTTCATCGCGCTAGCTTGCTCTTTAGTGAACATACTAGTGTGCTACATAAGTTTTCTCTATATATAAAAAAGAGAGTAAACAAATTAATTGTGTCAGTAAAACTCAATCTCTACTAATGAGTATCACAAAAAAAGGATGACACCACATCCCTGACCGGATAGTACGTTGGGAGGATGTAAATTAGATTATAATCCCAATCTGACACATAGAGAGTGCGGCTCTGACCCCGATACTTGCAGAGGCCCTATGCATTTTTAGCATAATAACCCCTCGTCGCAGTTGCCGGGATTCGAATCCGGGATTCAACCCCTGTGACACTCCTTTGCTGCCAGTTGAGCCACGTCCATCGGTAAAATAAGTATCACACTCTTTATCTTTAAGTCATCTACATTCATCCTTTAATTTGCCTCTTCCAATTCGAAGTTGTTCAATTTGGCTTGACAAAGAGTAAATATATAATCTCTAGAGATCTAAACGGCAATATGGTAATTTTGCAAATCTCAAATGATAGAGATCTCTTACCCTTAGGCTATGTTTGGGAGAGAGGCTCGTAGGAGGTAATGAAGATCAAGTCTCCGAGTGTTATTGGGCTGACATGTAAAGTAAGTAACTATTTGGGCAGATTCAAAATAAACTCACACTTTTCTTTTTGGATAGATCCAAAATAAATTTCACACTTCTATATTTGATAACTTATTAATATCAAGTTACGCTTATACATTTACTTTATTACCTACTTTAAACTCACTTTCTTCGATTCCTTTCACTACACATAATCTACTTTTTGTAAGAATATGATGGGAAAGTTGAATCTAAAAATTCCACTTTCTTACAAACAGCAAAGTCGAACTATGAAGTTTATTTAACACCGATGTGAGTAACACATTTGGAGTCTTGTCACCATTATGTGGAATGCTAGCTACTATGAATTATTATACTTAGAAACTACCTTAGATGAGAGTAAAAAAATGAACATATTTACATATAAGGTGAAATAAGGTGGAATCGCCTACAGGATAATGATACTCAAAATCACAATATGATTTTAAATAGTTCTAAATGAAGTGACTTATGGTTTAGTGTGAACAAAATCTATTATACTGCATTGGATGAAACTCTCGTGTTGTCGTTGTTGGGAATCAAACCCGAAACCTAATCCAACTTCATCAATCATTCCCATGCCATAAACACTCGATCTCATTGCATTTTCATTTTGTAGTAATTTATATTAGACCGCAAGGATTCAGTCAACTGCTATGGCTCTTGGCGCCATCCAACATTCAAACTCCGAAAATTCATCTGAAATGACCAATTGACTAAACTCTTAACATTGAATTGATTCAGTCTTCTAATGAAATTGATTTCTACGTGATAGAGTATATCTCTAGAGAGAAGTGAGAGCTAGAGAGAGAAGTAGTATATTTGCTTGATATTAATGAATTCTGAACCCCCACAACTACTCCTAAGGGGAGTATTTATAGAGAAAATACGGGCTGGGCTCCCAAGCCTTGGGCTTGGGAGGCCCATTTACAACTGGACCGCTACTGGGCCGAATACAAAGCCACTAATGGGTTGTACAAATGAATAAGTATAAAATCCGGTTCTGGGAGGTCTTCGTGGCCGACGAGGGCACGGCCGACGAGGGCACCCGAGTTCCTTGGGCTCAGGACCATAAACTGAGTTGGCCCCTTTTCGGCCGACGGGGGCGTCTTGGCCGACGAGGGCGCCACTCTGTGTCTTGTGCTTTCTGTCCTTCCGAGTATGTGGGTCCAGGGGCTCAGACCCATATACTCCATCAAGAGTCCCCCACTCTCTAAGCTGAGACGTAGACGAAGTGAAGGAGAGTAGATTCCCGTGTTTTAGCGCTTTTGGCCGATGCGGGCATCCCCGGGTCGTTAGCCGTTGCGGCGTTGGCGTTGTTTCCTCTTTGGTGTGTTCATTCGAGGACGATGAGTCTCCCGCTTCGACGGTGGCCGTTGAAGGCACGCTTTCCTTTTCATGGGCATTGATGGTTGAAGTTTGGGCTGATGAGGCCGTCGAGGTTGTTCCTTGCTCTGAGGACGATGGCGTCCTTTCCTTTGGGTGGCCGATGGGGGTGTTTGCGCACTCCTTTTGGCCGTCGTTGATTAGCTTTCATGTTTCTGGCCGAAGAGCCCCTCGTGATTAAGTGATGGCGAAGGACGATGAGCGTCCTTGCCTTTGGTGGCCCGTTGGCCGTTGCAGATGACGTTGTGTGCCTTCGGTCGACGAGGTGCAGTGTGACGCATGGCCGATGTGGCCATGCTCTGTGGTTACCTTGTTTGCATTCTCTTTTGTTTTGTTGAGGCCGGTGTAGTCCCCCAGTCCCCCACTTCTTCAGGCCGAAGAGTGTGAGGGGTGAAGGAGTTGCCTGAGTCCCAGGCCGAGACGGCCTCGCCGTAGTGCCCCTGAATCCAACCCTTATGGCGATTTCCTGGCCAAGGTAACCCTGTGGGAGAACCCTTGTGCGCAGATCGCTTGTAAAGAGTTATCATCAAGGGCCGTTACGAGGAGCCGACGACTATGGGTTTTTGTTCCTTTGGTCCTGTGGCCGTTCATTACGTTCCTGGCCGTTGTCATCTCCCTATCGTTGGCGCTTGTGAGTTTGGTATGTGAATAGGCCGGTGCGGGCGTTTGCTGGCACTTGTGAAGCCGGCAAGCGTAGAGGCCGTAGAGTCTGTTTTGCTGGTGGGCTCTTGATGTTTTGCTTGGCCCGTTGTTGACGTGGCGGCCCCTCACTGGTGGCCGTTGACGTGGCCATTGGGAGGGTGCCACGTGTAGTGACCGTTGGGTGGGGGGTTCTATAAATACCCCTCCCCCTCCGACGAGAAAACTTATTTGCTTTCTGAGTGTTGTCGAAGTGCTGCCCAGATTTCTAGAGAGAGAAACTCTGACGCTTGTTCTTCGTGTTCTTCGTTTGTTCAAGGTTAGTGTTCATCGAAATCCTCTCTGTACTTTGCATGTTTTGCTTCCTAGGCTAGTGATCTAGTGTTAGGCCCTTGAGTATCCTTAGATCTTGAAGTAGGCTGCAGTATATTCGAGATAGTGTTTTAAGATGAAAAACCTCAACGAGGAGTACTATCCATATGACGACGAGCCCTCTGCCCAGTCCCTTGATTATGACCTTCTCGAGGAGTTCTGTGAGGAGATTGAGAATCTGAGCTCGTTCCGTACCGGGGAGCCGGCCGAAGAGGACCATGCGGACGAGGGGTCTGCGTCATCGTCTGGTGGTGAGGACGCGGGGGTCTCTCGAACTGCTGATGGGGCATCCACGTCGGCTGCCATCCCCTGCCCTAAACCTGTGTCTGCTGTGAAGGGCGCTGCACCGCCGAGGAGGGTTAGGAGGCCGAAGAGAGGGCCAGCCTTTTCTCACCTTGATCTGACGAACATCTATGTCATCAGGCCGCAGAGTAATGCGGGGGAATACTTGGTCGCCCAAATGTATGTGGGGCCGTACGGCAGGGTTAGGGCCCCCAGGCCGACGGACCATGTCCTCAATCCCCCCCGGGCTACTTCGGAGTGTACCCGATGAGCTTTGCTAAAGGGCTTAGGTTTCCGCTTCATCCTTTTATCACTGAGTACCTGGATATGGTGGGGCTCCCTCCGGCCTTGTTGACGCCGAATAGCTACTCCCTAATTGGCTGAAATAATTATGGAAGGCAACTTCTCAACAAATACTCTAATTAGTCGAACCCTACTTCAGTCATACTTCAATTATTCTTATATATCCTTCACAAAATTATATCTCTATCATTTCTTCAAACCAACAAAAACCCATGTTGGGATCTATCTCGGACGGGTGGTCATCCGAGATGATTAATGATGTTTTTACTTGGATTCAAATTTTCTAGTTTAATCTGGTCCGATTTTGTTTCGTCTAAATAGTTTAAATCTGGTATGATCTAGTGTGTACTGATCTGGTAGGTGTGTGGTCGTCTCTGTGCATTTATCAACCGTAAAGGTTAGATGAGGTTTAGTCTGATCTAGTATGTATCAGACCAGTCTGATTTGATTTAGTCTGGTATGATCTGATTTAATATAATTTTACTGTCCTCAAATAATTAAGTCGATCAAGGTAAAAACATCTTAAAGTTTATTAATACAAAAATACGAGAACATTTCAAGAAATATTAGGAACTAGCAAATTAAGAAATATATCGAATCTTATTGTAATCTCTATAACATATACAAATATGTTTCGATCTTCCCAAAATTGAGATATCAACATCATAGTAATCACTGATATTCTTAAATGCAAAATAGGCGGATATATTTCCCTATATATATACCAATATTTTTATCGTGCACTTAAGGTATAGTATCATTAATCATTATTATTAACAAATAATAATGACTCGCGCATGAGAAGATTAATTACGTACTTATTAATTTCTTTATTATATATAATGATAATGAAAACGTTTGTGTCTGACTACAAATATGTGTTTTGATTTGTCTTTCTTATAAAATATAAAATTCGTTGAGAACTGATACTAAATCAAGATGCACACCGTGGACTTTGTAGTAAATTTGTGTCGGTGTGAGGGCTGTAAAACAATGCCTACATATCTTAAAAAGCACCTCAAAGGTAAACCTACAAATCTTCTTTGTTTCTTTAATCATTGAAGTAACATATTTTATCAAGAATTATTGATATACAAATAGGCTAGAAATATAATTATGTCTATACGTATACTCATGATAGGAGTTATCAAGAATTATTGATATACAAATAGGCTAGAAATATAATTATGTCTATACGTATACTCATGATAGGAGTTATCGATGTGAAGATGGATTATGAAAACAATCGAGTGACCATTGTGGGTGAGGCTGTGGATGTGAACAAAGTTATCCAAAGTATTTGGAGCAAATTTAATAAGAGAGCGAAATCTCAAAATCCTCCACCGCCATCAGAGGTTGCCGCCGGAGATACACCACCGTCAACCAGTAACTTCACACCGGTGGTGGATGCCGTCAACGCGTCAACCAGTAACTTCACACCGGCGGTGGACGCCGTCAACGCATCAACCAGTCACTGGCAGACGTACTTTGTTCAAGTGTGTTCAGGCGAACACCCAAAATTTTGAAAATAAAATGTAAAAATACATGTGTAGAAATCATATAATAATTTATATATTGCATTTTTTATATTATATTTGTTACCCATAACCGTTTTGCTAGTTTTTTGTTGTTCAAAAAAATTACAATACCCCAAACTTTGAAAGGGTGTGAGATGCACACTCCAAACTTTCATATGTGATTTAAGTACCCCAAACTTTATATAAAAAGTATTTTTAGCACTATAGTCAAGTATTTTTTTTTCAAAAATTTAAATTTATGGTGTTAATTGCATAATTTAATATATTTTGGAATTCATGAAGACACAATTAACATTTTAAACTTCCATTGAGAAATAAATAATGTTATCCCCAATCTGTAAAATTGCAACACTTTTAATTTGTTATTTTAAATTATGAAATTAACTCCATAAATTTAAATTTTTGAAAGAAATGATACATGACAATGATGCGAAAATAATTTTTTATATAAAGTTTGGGATATTAAAATTACATATGCAAGTTTGGGGTGTTTACCTCACACCCCTTCAAAGTTTGGGGTAATTTTATTAGTTTTCCCATATTTTAACCATGATTTTTTGAACACCCAACTTCTTATTGCCACCAGTAAATTGACACCGTGACATAATTAACCGTATACACATTTGACACCCTCTTATGTTCATTTTATAACGTAATCATTTAAGTAGTTTTAGCTTTATTTTGTTTTGAGGCAATTGGCAAACCATAATTTGAATCAATAAAGTTATGGCAATTTCCTTAAAGAAATAGTTTTATTGTATTTATTTGACGATGTATACAATCATTGCATTTCTTTTAGACTCCATACTAATGATTCATAAATATTACTCCCTCCGTTCCATAAAATTCTTCCCACTTTTCTTTTTGGGCCGTCCCAAAAAATTCTTCCCACGTAGTATATATACTCATTGGGAGAACTATCAAATAAGCCCTCAAACTTACATAAAAAGTGCAAATCAGTCCTTTTATAGGAGGCTTTGTCCGGTCGTCGCCATTTGGGGTGGTTTCCGGTTGAATTTTTTGATAAATGTTTTTGAGCATCTTATTCAATAAGTCTAGTTTACCCATATCAAATTTCAGCTAAAAATTCAACCAAGAAAGAAATCAAATGATTTTCTGAAATATACTGCGTTGTCTAACTACGCAGTTATTTTCAAAAATTCATTTGACTGCCTTCCCGATTGAATTTTTAGCCTACATTTGGTATGAGTAAACTAGACTTAATGAATAAGATGCTCAAAAAGTTTCATCAAAAAATTACAGCGGGAACCACCCCAAATGACGACAGACGGACAGAACCTTCTATAAAAGGGCTTATTTGCACTTTTTATGTAAGTTGGAGGACTTATTTGATAGTTCTCTCATCGTTATTTCTTTTGTTCACATATTAGGAAAAATGTTCGTGTTAAAAAAATCCATTTTTTTGTGTTATTCCAATCCAAAATACACCCTATTTGCAAAACGACATTTGAAACAAGCCCAACTTTCTTATAACTTTTTTGAGAAGTTATATTAGCTACTTGGATTGTACATTGAATAACCGGCCGTCGTGGTGTTATGGACGCTTCTCCCTCTTCTACATCTGGCGCTTCTGCCTTTTCCTCGTGGGAGCGTCACCAATCCATTTTAAGCCATCCCTCATTGTCGTTTTTATAAGTAGGCAAAACTTCAGCTTTTAACTGATATCAACCGGGATTTTGACCAATTTAGTGCCAATACTTTGAGGTTAAATATGCTTCTATTAAAAAAAATATTAAACCATACTTGTATTTCTTGTTCCAATTGGGATCAGCATATTTCCTGCTTTGTAAGATTTGCTATTTCAGTTCCGTAACTTTCACTTGTATTTGCTTTTAGTTGTGTAACTTTATTCAATTTTACATTATGTCTTGTATAAAAAATATCCATTTTATTGGTTTTCATAGGTAAATATGTCATTGCGTCAAAATTTTCGCCGAAAAGTGTACATCCCGGTAGTTTGAACTAGTCTCGAAATGGAAGGGTCAGGTGTTTGAGATGGTTTGCGTGTTACATACTTACATGTGAGCACAGATGTTAATTATGACAAGTATACTATCGTGACAAAATATGACAATACAATATAATATAATATAATATAATATAATATAATATAATATAATATAATATAATATAATATAATATAATATAATATAATATAATATAATATAATATAATATAATATAATATAATATAATATAATATAATATAATATAATATAATATAATATAATATAATATAATATAATATAATATAATATAATATAATATAATATAATATAATATAATATAATATAATATAATGATGACAATACTAAATTGCTCCTATATAGGGGAGGGAAGTATAATATTCCTATTTTAGAATTTCACATCGTTTACTTCTAATTAAAATTTTCTAATCGGATTGAAAATGCAAATAACCACACTTTTCTTTGATTCTAGAGCTTGTCTATCTAAAACAGTAAAACTATGGCCAAGTATGCCAATATTTCTGGATTTACTCTTTCACAGCCATCCTGAGTCCAATGTCTCCGTTTTAGCTTGCTTTGGCGCCTATTCTACAAAAAAATTACAGATTTGGTACAGATTGATCGATGATGATTTCGTGCCAAATAACTTGTGTCAACATGTTTTTGACACATATTTAGCATCTCTGCCAAATTCTCTACAAATTTTGACGAATCCTTGCAAAAAATCCATACCAAATTACCCATGTTTTTTGTAATGTATGTACCTAAGGTGCCTAGCCTTATCGCTCCTCCGATCAAACAATCAAAGGTAACAGATCTTAGGGTCCATGCTTTTTACCAATATTGGGGCGTCTCTCTTTCCACCCGATCGCGCAAGCCACTATGTCGTAAGGAAAAGGATCCACATCCCAACCATTTAGCCAACCCCCCGCCGCACAAAATTGGTCTTGGTTGAAGTACTATTAAGTGTAGCGGTGCAAACGAATCCAGGCACTCACAAGCAACTAGTGAACCGCCTTGTTATAACTTGACTCGACTTCGGTCAAACTCAAACTCGAGCAAAATTCAAGGCAGCTTGTTAAGCAATCCTGTCGATGAACTCAAGCTCAATTCCTTGTAGCTTGTAGACCTACATGTGCACTACAGTCTACAACATTACAGTCTAAGACTGTTGATTATTTAGTTTTGTTGATGACTAACCTTAAACAGAAAAGAACACCATCCTTGAGTCCAAAACAATGATAACTAACCATGCAGGTAGGACCTTTGGATAGAACTACTACTTGTTCTACCGGGAACAAACTTAATGTGCGTTGTTGTCGTGCTTAATAAATTAATATATGTTTGCATGAATTAAATTGTAATATATACATGGCACATATTACATGCGTGAATGAGCATTGATACTAAAAGCTTTGACATTATAAGCTATGCCTGCATTAGTATAATGTATACGTGACATACTTTACATGCATTGATACTAAAAATTTGGCTGTCACATAATATGGGTAGTATAATTAACTTGCCTCCTTTTCATAATGGTTGACCGATCCATGCTTGTCTATGAATATTTTATTACCCATGATTTTGATCAAAAAGAATATTCTATTACCATATATATTATGGAACGTTGCATGATTGACAAGTTAATATAATACTTCCTTCTATATTACGGTATTGTGTAAGATTATCACGAGCAATAAATCGGAATGATTAAAATCCACATAGAAGGAAGGTGATTCAAAAATATCAAGGCAAGTCCATAAATTCACCAAAGCAACCAAGTAAGGAAAGAGGAGCAACGAACGACCTGCATGAAGCTATGTATAGGATCGAAGACCAAAAGAAGAAGTGTGCTTGAGAGAGTAATCAAAAGGAGAAAGAGTTGCAAGGTTTATCAAGTTCAAGGCACCTGAATCTACACACAGAGTTCTAGATAGAGTTTCTTTTCCTTTCTTTATCTTGTAATTTGGTTTCGAGGAATAGCTAAGAGTAGCTTCCTCGGTTTGGGATCGTGTGTGTGAGAGCTTTGTTGTAAAGCTGAGAGTCTCTCTACCCGTAAGGTAGAGATGCATAACTCTTCCTAGAGAGGATAGAGTTGGGGTGGCTCAAGGGTAGATTAGGAGAATTTACCTTGTAACCACATTTTGGCTGTTTAGTGAAGTTGTTCAAATTCCTTCAAGAAAGGTCGAGGTTTTTTAATCCCTATGAGCCAAGGGATTTTTCCTCGTTAAATTCTTATGTTTTTATTATTTCGCATTTCCCTTCACCCACACTGGAACTGTGCAGGAAACTGACACAGTTCCACAGAAACACAATTCACCCCTTCCTCTTGTGTTACTAACCGTTTCATTAAAGGCACATTTATTATCTATTGGCTATAAAATATAGGTACCTACATACGAAGCATTAAACAGTGAAAAGATACATAAAGATATGGAAGATTACAAGAGTATTCATTTGTATTTATAGAACGTGATTACATGATTGACCAGCACTCTTGATGTCTCAAATTGCATCTCTACCTGTAATTTTCTGGAGCTTCCACAAACTGGCTGCAAATATACATGGATAGAAGTTAGATTTAATGGAAGACTATGGAAGCAATTAGATAGCTAGATACCTATTTGATAGCAAGTTCCTCAATTATTATGAATCTATCCACCTTTCTCATTTAAATAGCTCCCCTTCAGACCATATTTCCCTTCTTTTATAGGGTAGTAAGGGTTCCAACTCTTTCCTTAAGTCCTTTGAATTCCAAAATATGTGGCTTACTCACCCAAATTTTATGGAAGTGATCAAAAAGAGCTGGACAGGTTGCAATTATGGAGGGGGGTGAGAGGCTTGGTTTCAAAGTTGCAGCAGTTAAATTAAGTAGGATCTCAAGGTTTGGAACAAAGAAACTTTTGGGAACATCTTTGACGATATAAAAAAGTGTGAGCAGAAAGCCCTTAATGATGAGCTGAAATTTCAGGAAGATCCCCATGAAATTAACAGAGAAAATTGGGCTCAGTCAAAAAGCACTATTACTCTCAAAATACAAACTTGAGAGGAAGTTTTGGAAACAAAAATCTCATATTAGGTGGCTCAAGAAAGGGGATTCCAATTCTCAGTTTTTTCACTCATATGTGAAAGTAAGAAATAAAATGCAAACTATCACTTCTAATCACAATGAAGCAGGTAACCTGGGTTTCTCTTTTCCTGAAATAAGTGATGCAGACTCATGC